CGCTTTCAGCTGCAGCAGCAAAGGTTGATTGTCGACCGCGGCGGAGACATCGCGACGCATCCGGTTACGATGTTGTCTCAAGGCCGCGGTATCATAGGAGGCCACCTCGTAATAGCCGATGTGAGAGCCGTGCGTGATACCTGAAACAGACGGGGAATATCGTTCCATTAGCCGACTGATAATTGGCAAAGGTAGAGCGGTCATAGGGGTCATAGGGGTCATAGGGGAAAAGGGAAGAGAGCGAAGAGATCCCCTCGAAGGGGGTAGAAAACGTCGGGATAGCGTTCCCTGCCTGCTTCTCCCGTGAAATCCAGAATCGCGTGGAATAGCCTATTAACCGATCTCCTCTCTCTCTCTCTCTCTCTCTCTCTCTCTCTCTCTCTCTCTCTCTCTCCCTCCCTCCTCCCGGCCTTTTAGCGAAATCGGCGAACGACAAAGAGAAACCACCTAAGACGTTGCAAAATCCGAAGCTTCGAGACCCGGCTTGGACTTTCGCTATCGCGACGGTTGCGGCGGCGAGAGTAGACCGTGAATTTCGTCAGAGTCGTTTTCACGAACGAGACACGTTCGTGGGTGGAACGGAGCCAGAGTTTCTCCGTTGGTCGGGCTAATCTCGAAAATTAGCCGACTCGGTAACAAAAGGCGAATCACTCGGTTTGATTATCCTTCGTGTCGATTCCGCGGCTACGGAAGAGCCGCCGAGTGAGCAAGAGGCAACGCGTAAACTCTGGAAAGAAGCTCCTTCGGAAAGCTTTTGACCGGAAATCGCCTTTCCAACTCGGAGCTGCGACGAGTACGACGAGCGAGAAAACGTTCCGCTTGCACGTTTCTCGGCCGATACATCGGAGATAGGATGGCGAAAGAAACAGGGGAGTGCACTCGCGATTAGAGTGCTACTCCAAGTGGCGTGTCCATTGTTGGCCCGGTAAGTACCGATCAAGAACAAAGGACACACTCGGGAAACGCGGCAGAGTGTTGACTGCTATTAAAGCGTTGCGCAGAGTCGCGCACGGGCATAGTTTAACGGCACCTCGTGGCGTTCTCCAGGCCACATCGCGTGGCTTACAGCTTACGCAACACCCTCCGATAATCTAATTACCGTGGCTCGTTATCGATGCCTTGGCCCGCGGCGAGTTCCAATGCAACCACCCTCCATCGGACACTTTGTATCGGATTTTCCATCGAGAATCGGTATCGTTCTAGCCCGCGGCCCTCGCACGCCCTCGTACTCACCGGCCGCGTGCTTCTATCCTCGTTAAGTTATCGGGCAGATAAGTCGCGTTTCGCGATAGAAGAAAAGCCGTCCCGTTTCGAACGTGACTCTCTCTCTCTCTCTCCCTTTCCCTCTCTTTCTGTTTCTCTACACTCGCTGCCATCTCTATCGAAGCGGTTTCGGTTACGCGAGTCGCGCGGATACCGGTTACCGAGGATACCGAGAAGCGCGCGAGTCCTTGCCAATAGCCCCGGCCGCGTGACTCGCGGTATGATAACCTTAATCGGGAACCGGCTGTTTAAATGGCCGCGCGTTAATCGAGGATACCAGTGGAATAGCCGTGGGTAAAGGGGGACAGAAATCGCGGCGGTGTTCGTGGAAGCGCGTTAACGAACCGGGAAATTAGCGGACGAGTGGTAAACGGTCGGAAAAGTCGACGAGACGAGACGAGACATCCGGAATGGAGCGTGACTCACCTCTGTGTGGTGACACGGGACGAAGAGGCGAGGCAACGGCAACGATCGAAAGGCAAGCGAAGACCAGGAAGAAGATCAGGGGTGTCCCGATTCGAGGACGACGTTCCCTCGAGCTGAAGGGGTACATCGCGGCCCTTTGGGCCCCGTTGTGCCCACCTCTATCCTTGCCCTCGTCCTCCTCCTCTTCCTCCTCCGCCTCTTCCCCTTCTTCGTCGACGGCCAGGGCCGTGGCGCGCATCGGCTCGACGTTCTCCGGCCCAGCAACAACTAATGGCGCTATCTCCCTTTCGTCGAACAGCCGACCACCGCACTTTGCGAGTCACCCGCCAGGCTCATCTCTCTTCCTCTCTCCGCCGCTATCTCCTTTCCTCCTTCGATCTTCCTTCTCACCCTCCCCCTCGCCCTCCTCCTCTTCCTCTTCCTCCTCTTCCTCCTCTTCCTCCGCCAACGAACGTGCTTCCGCCACGTCCTCTTTCTCTTCTTTCTCCTCCGTGGGTCGCTCAACCTTTCGACCCTCCTCCCGAGCTTTCAGCCTTTTTTCCCCGACTCCTGCCTTCGTCGATCGGCAGCTCTTCTTCGTCCTCACGGCCGATCGATCCTACTCCTGAAAAAAGGAAGAAAAACGCCCAGGGAACGGGATTAATTTTTCCAATAGGCTCCGCGCTCGCGGGTGTTCGATCCTCTCGGATCCCGCGGTCTTCGGATTTTCCTGCCAAGCGTACGACCACGTCGTCGTCGTGTCGATTCAAAGAATAGTCGCAAACGGTAAGGAGTAGTCGTCTTTCCCATCTTTGTCACGCGGGATCTTTGTTCGCGGATAACGCGGAACACGCGAGTCAAAGGCTGACGCGGATAGAGCCTCCGTCTTTCACGATCGATAGGATCTGATCCGGAGTTTCGGGGGGTTAAGACCGATTTCGGAGACGTTCGAAACGAAAAGAGATGTCGCGGGCGAGCGATTTTACAAGCCACTGCTAATCGGGGGAATAACGAGGGAGTCGTAGAAATTTACGGTGTTACGCGGCACTTGGCGGAGAGCGAAAACACCGGTGTAAAGCGGATAAGGGAAGCAATTCTTTAAACGTCTCCTTAAGAAGTTGTTCCTGAAAAATTTCCTCGAGATGCGCGCGTGTAAGTGGAAGCCGAAAGACGCGATGGCTAACTTCTGCGATAAATCATCGTCAATGTTCGCCGACCTCGTTGCAACGTTCTTAGGACCCTGTGTCTTCATCGGCTCCTCGAACAAGCCACTCCACGGATACGAATATTTCGTCTAACGATCCTCCGATCTCTTTTTCCCCGCTCCTCCCACGCCGATAACTTGGAAAGGAGATCCTTTTAGATATTTCCCGCCGATAATTGCATTTCTCGTTTCATAAGGGACCGGAATCTTTGCCAGCGGAGCAAAAGCGCCGCGATAACGACGAGGGCCATGGGTAGCGCACTCGAAGAACCTCTCGGCCCCGTCGCGATGGACACGGCAGGGTCGTCGGTCGGTCAAAGCGAGACGATATATCGAAGTCTAGGAAAAGGTGGGCGACGATATTTGCGGAAGCTTTCCACATGCGTGATAATGGCGTTACGCGAAACGTTTGCTCGTGCAGCAGCGACACGGTGCACCGCAGAACCGACTCCGTCCACCGGTTGTCGCGGTAAACTTCCGCGCGAGTTTACGGGAAAACGATATCCAGCCCGTATAGTCATCGTTCCAGCGTTCGCCTACAATTTTTCCTTTTTTCTGCGTTTCTCGTGTCGCCACGGCTATCGAATGACACGTACAACCGTGTAACCAAAACGAACGGTTCGCATCCCGTTCCCTTTTGCCCTCGCCCAACCCATTTCTTCTTCTCGCTCGTCCCATTCCGCCAACACCCACGATCGCCTCTTCTCCTTTTTCTCTCCCCTCCATCGCTAACCGCGCATCCTGCTCACGGGCGAAAGCCGTTGGTTCGCGCGCGAATCTCCGACACCAACAGGCAGAGTGAAAAGCGACGAAACGTGGAACGGAGAAACCAGATAACCGCGAATCGGCTTTCCGTTTCTACGATCGCGGCCAGGTCGGCCAGTCTACCGTGCAATCTACGTACACTCTCGTAGTATTTACAAACATCCGCATTTTTCTCGACCGCTTTATCGGCGCGATGCACGCGGTACGCAAATTCTCGCGCGCGTGGGTGGAAAAACGAAAGAGACGAGTCCGCGCGCGCGACGGTGGTGGGGAGAGCGCGGCGAGTGGTGGGAGGCAACGCGAGGAGCGGTGGGGGTTCATGGCCGCGGGAGAGAATAATTCGAGCCGCGTCTAGCCGGCGACAATTTGCAAAATTGTCTCGCGCGTTCCGCTCGGCTCCGCGCTACTCCGCGCCGTTCTCGCTCGACGATTCGCGAATGATAATCGTCCCACGTAGATACCACGGCTTTGTCCTCTTTCCCGGACGCGAGCCGCCATACACGACCCCTGCGCTCACCGCTCCGCGACCTCACCCCGTGTCGAAAGAACAATGGGACGATGAACGCGCGGGATTTGCCGGCAGCGCGCCACCTATCCTCGCGGCGAATATTTAATACAGGGCCGTGTTCGTACGCCACCGTACGCGATAACCTATCAATTGACCATTATTAGCGGGAACACGCGACCAACGCGTTCCAATTGGACGGAACGAGTATGTGTGTCGGGTGTAGCGGTAAACCGGCTACGGTTTCAGCGTACGGAGCCGCATCTCCTGCAGCTGATTGCACGCGGTGCGATTCTCTCCCGGATACTTTGCCGGTCTTTTTATCTCCTTTCCACCTCCCGCTCCGCCCTCTCCTTTCTCCCTCCGCTTCGCTCCACCGTGTTTCCGCGGAGCGTAGTTAATTTTCTTGCAGCGGAATTAAACCGACCGAGAGAATGTTTCTCGTTATTCCAAACACTCGTCCTGCGTCCACGTGAAATTTCTTCCGGCTAACTTTTAAATTAACGCGTCGCGCTTACCCGCGACGGGCAGACGAGTTTGGTTCGTCGCGCTCGTTGGGGCGGGTCCAGTAACGGTACCGATGCTGCCACTGCGTTTAGAAGAATTACTCTCGCGATACGACCCAGCGCGTGACTTTCTATTCTTCCCATTCCGATTACACGCTTTCGCGGTCCACGCTCGCTCGATCCTCGCCGCGTGTCGTTTTACCTAACGTCCGTTCGATTCGCCGAGAGGCCTAACAACCGGAGAGAAGGGAAAGGGAAGGAAAATTTGATTGACCTCGAAAGACTCGCGGAAACCGAGTCCACGAGGCGTAACTAAGGTCAACCGGAGTACTCGAAATTTCCATTTCCATTTCCGGCTTCGCGGGACCGATAAAAGTTTCAATGGCGGACTACGGCCGGTATTACGCTCTCGAGCGAGCGTGATTCGGCGTGAAACGGGCTGAAGCCGCTGTAAACGAAGCTTGGCCGTGACGTGGGTGTAGAAAATCGCGAATACCGATCGTGCACTCCGGCATCGGACGATTTTCCATCGAGCGCGCCTCGCTGAACCGTTACCTCGCAACGCGCGCGGCGAAACACGTTTTGCGTAATGCCCTAAGCGTTCGTCGACGGAACGGAGCGGACACCGGCAGCGCAACTCCAAAGCAATTACCAAGGAACGGTCCGAGATCGCGTCGTCGGGGTAAACGGAGTCGAAACTTTCCACCGCCTCGCACGGAACTGAGAAAATTTCGGATACTCGGCGACGAACCGGTGAAACCGAGGAGGCGAGTCGCGAACGTGCAAGGATTATTAATTCCAGGTTTAAGGCGATTAGCGTGGCCCATGGTTAGGTTGATCTGGGAAATTGCGTCGAACCGGAGGGCAAGGCGGAGTTTCGAGATTATTAATACCAAGTTTCTATCGCGATTAGCGTGGTGCGACGTCGGATCGATTAGACGAATGAAACCAAATAAGGAAGGGTTACGAGGTGTCCTAGCGAGACTGGTATAGCGTGTTCGAGAAAAGAAGGCACAACGTGTTTACGTTGTCCTTACAGCTGACACTCCCATGGCCCACTGAAAACGGTCACCGTTTTCGGCCAATAGCGGCCATTGTCTGTGATCAAGAGAGAATCAGCGGAGTTAATCAGCCGTGAGGATGTAAATACGCTGTGCCTTCTTTTCTCGCACGCACGATAGTTCCGAAGTGGTCGAAGATCGACGTGGACGTTGATGGATTAACCGTTACGATTAATACGGTGCGTCGTTTGAACGCCGTGTCGAATCAGCCGAATCGGAGAGAGGCAAGTCGTTGTGCAATATCGATAGAACGAGATTGAAGGTAGCTGGCGATTTCGCGGGAAACTTCGCTTGATAAGGTTAATTAGTATTAACGCGTGCCTTTGTACACGCCGAGCGAGTTTCTTCGGCGCATCGCGCCACGAACAATGGTTCCGACCTCCTAACGGACTCGCTGAGTTATTTTTTAATATAACTTTCACGTAGATAAGCGTCCTTATGCAACGCCAGTTACATGCGCCAACTCGATATCCGGCGCTCGCGTTTAACGCTCGCTTTTCCCATTAAACGACAATTAAAGTCTCGCTGCAACTTTTGCAATTTCTCGCAAAGATAGCCGCGATTCCTTTGACTCCTTCGCCAGTACCCTGCCACCCGCTCCCGTTTGTTTCATAAGTTCGTAAACCCTGCCGCGGTTGCGTGGGGAAAAAGATGGGGCGAGTGAAGGAAAGAGAGGGCCAGTTAACCTATAAACGTGACCGTCGATTCGCGTGCGTTCCCTCGAAAAGTCAGCATCCGGCAAAACCACTTCCGTCAGACGTGCCAGTGGCGCTGGGGACGCGTTTTACGTGACATTTAAATCTCCCATCGTGCGCGTGCAATCCGACGTAAACATACTGGTATAGAAACAACGGTAGAGTGTGCGTGCGATGCATCTCGACGGTTGATAGCTACGCGCGACTCTCCACGGGTCCCTTGGCGATTGAACGCGGCACTGTGCGCATCTGAGGTGACTCGGTGATCGCGAGGGAAATCTGGCGTCGTTCTCCGAGCGACTTACCTTCCCTTCGACAGATACGTGCTGGGAGAAGGTACACCGAAGAGAGGGGGGAGGGGAAGAGAAAGAGAGAGAGAGAGAGAGAGATGCAGGAGTAGACGTGCACGACGAAAAAAAGCACGGTGCTTAGCCGCGCGAACAGAAACGGAGAGACGATGAGATAGACCGAGGGATAGACCGAGAGATGGAGCGAGAGTAAGGGTCGAAAAGAGAGGGAGAAACCGAGGGAGAAGGACGAGGAAAGAGTCGTACGTGGAATATTGCGCGTGCTCGTTGCTCTCGCATACTATCTGACACCTACCTATGCACAGCGGCTCGAGTCCTGCCACTGGCGTCCTTTCCGCCGCGATCCTCGTCCTTCCGACCGGTTCTGGCAGGGCCGTCGATTACTCATTTACGGTCATTGTACCGCATCCCGACGCACTGCACTAACTATTCACAGTATCACACGTGTGTCACACGACAGCGTACCCGTTGCTCTCTCTCGCTCGACGGTGAACAAAGAAATTCGTGGTTAGACGGAGAAAGAGGGAGAGAAGTTGAAAAAAATAACACGCGCGACACAACCCTTACACCACGAAACAAACAGGAACGCGTTTCGCGTCGCACTGACGGGAACGCTCGTGACTCGCGCGAACGAAGACTCCGAGGACAACGACTTCCCCTACCTCTGTCGCGTTCGACCCAGCTGTGCTGCGCCCTCTCTCCTTCTGCCTTACGAACTCCCCTCTGTCCGTTCTTATTCCTCTCGTAGCACCTTCTCTTTCTTTTTCGAAGATCCCTTCCATGTCTGGACGCGGACCAGCGCTTTCCAATAGTGGCACGTTGTACCACCAACCCCACCATCACAACCCCACTCTGACTACCGTGTTCCGACTCCCACCTTCGTGTAACTTGACCTTAGCCGTCGGTCAAAGGAAAGGTGTGTTCCTGAAACAGAAGGGCGGTCCAAGGGTTACGATCTTTGTACAAAGGATCATCGATGCACGGCTGTTGTCATTTTTTGACAATTTTTGTTACAGTTTATATCTCTCGCTATTCTATCCCTTTGTTCCAAATTACTCCTTTTATACATTCTAAGTACGGTTACGATTCCTCACTGAAATTGTATCGCGCGATATTCGTTTACTTAAGGTGAAATGTCTGTCATCTTTCGGTGGGAAAGCGTGAATGAAAATTTTATGTTATATCACTGAATCCTTGTTCACGTACCCACGAGGTTTAACGCCAACCGTACGTGTCGGTAAATGGAAGAAGGCGAACGCGTGATATCGTCCAAGTGGGGTTGTTCAGCACGTAAGGGGCCCCTCCATGGAAAACCCCTGCAGCAGGCTTATTTAACCCCTCTTCCCTCGATTCAGCCACCCCGCTATAACCGAGCGACGTTTGCCTCGCAGCCACTATATCTCGTTCATTTTCCCTTCCCGTTGGTGGTGGCCATGCTGTTCAGGATGACCCCTACCGATAGATCGAACTACTTTCATTCCTTCAGATTTCCTTCTGCTACTTTTCAAACGACGACTTGCGTAAGTAAAGATCCGGTAAGGGTGCGCGTATATTCGTTTAATTCGAAATTGCAATTTAAACCTCTGAACAAAACTATTTTCAGCACTTTGAAAAATTCGTTAACTACTTGTAAAAATCTTCGTACCTCTGTTATTATTAACGTTCACTATTTAAAAATATCGAAAGACATAGAATTTTCCTACGAAATTTAAACGAAGATCGATCGACCACGTGTGGTAACTGATTGTTACGATTAGTGCACGTTGCACTCGAAGGTGTCGCCTCTGTGCAATGAACGAGTTTGGTAAGGATAGGTAAAATAATAACACAAACCTAACCTCACCCTGAGTAACGTTACTTGACACGTAAACGAAACGTAAAGCGAAGCTGTAATATTTTTTCAAGTGTCTTATACAAATCTTTGAATTATGGTAACTACGAGTATAATATTATTTAAATACTAGTTTTGCAACAAATTATTCATATCTTTTCTCGATGTTTCGAATTTTAGGCTCGCTATTTTCGCGAGGAAGATATAGATGGTACGGTATGAATTTTCTCAATTTTGCTACTCAAGCTGAATACTTACCAAATAAATATTCATTTCTTTACAGAGTTCAGAGAATGTTTTTATTTGTTTGCAAGAAATGGCCAGATACGTACCCTGGATGAACTCACAATCATTATGAGGTCATTGGGATTGAGTCCTACTATTGCAGAGTTAAATAAATATTTAAAGGACAAAGGTACAAACAAGGAGGTAAAATAATCGATGACGATACAAAACTCTTAAAATGCCAAACTTTTAACCATAGGTGGGAAAATGTCCTTTGCCGATTTCTTGGAAGTTATGCATTTACAAACAAGAGCAGAAGACCTGCCGAAGGAAGTAATAGAGGCTTTTCAAGCTGCGGATAAATTTAGGACCGGTACCATACCTGCTAGACAGTTAGCACACATGTTGCTCCATTGGGGTGAGCAATTAAGCAACAAAGAAGGTTAGATTCTCTTTTAATTACCAAGGGAATCTTCCAACAACTGTTCTTAACCAATGCCTTTACGTCTAATTTTTAGTGGAACAAATTTTTAGAGAAGCAAACGTGTCTCCAAATGGACAAGTGAAATACGAAGACTTTGTCAAAATAGCTTGTGCACCTGTACCTGATTATTATTAAGATATTTTTAATATTTTTACGAGATCCTTTTTATAAAATATTTGATATTTATGTAATTTTTACATTAAACGCACTTCAAGTTAATTCAAAAAATATCGTCATAAAACAAAAAGAATTTATTTGCGCAGCAGCTTATCTTCGATAGACGAACGTTATACATCTTATCTCTATAATTGCTTACAGTTACAAGAGCTTAATACCTAATCCATCGATCTTAGTCGAACCGAAATTATTCGAATTTCGTCCTTGGTCAACTCCATTCCCCACCATCGTCCTCAGCCCTCTTTGGCGATGTTCGTGTTTGACGGAGAACCACAAAGAATGACGGTGGTGCTGACGATCGTTGTCAGGAAGAAGACGCAGAGGAGCGCTCGATCACTGACCAGCGCAACGTGTTTCCAATCTAATTCCATTCGTTCCCGACGATCCTGCTCCGCCAGTCGTTTCTCGTTCCTCTCGATCGTCGCGTGTACTCTTCCTAGCACGCGTGACCATTGAGCTTCAAGGCTACCGTCTTTTCCAAGATCTGCACCGGTTTCTTACTAAGTTATACCTGGTCGAACTAGATGCTTTCTCGCGAATAAAACTCACCTAAACTAGGGCTGCCGCTGTTACTCTCCTCCCTTCTAGTCATGAACTTGGGCGAGGATTGCGACTGGGCCAGTTCCGGTTTGCAGTGCAGTGGACAATTGTTTTTTCTTCTGGGCGGTTCGACCGGTTCCTAATGCAAATCGCGTATCGTTCGCAAGGCCATCGGAAGAAAAAGAGTATCCTCGCAAAGTGGAAACCTTACCGATCTCTTTTCCTCCTGGAAGTTGAGGAACACTATCCTGGCTAGCTTGTCCAACACCAACGATCGGACGATACCTGGCACTCTGGTCCCTTGAACACCGCGATGATGAAGATTCAAGGTGACCACCGTTAATCCCGATGCGAATGACACCAGGCATATACTGACTCCGTAATAGAGACCTGAAAATCACGACAATGATAATCAATAACTGCTCGATTACGACGAATTAATCGTTAACCCAAAACACTAATTGAAGCCCCGCGGTACGTTCAGTTGTTACCGCGCAAATTAATTGTCTAACAAGTTTCCAATTACGAAGTTGCACGTTCAACGCAACCGGCTTTCCTGTGCGATGCTTCTGCAAACGGGTTAAACGCGATTTCACTGCGTTTCGCAGTGGTACCGGAGGATTTTCAGAGGGGACACTTGGGACTTTTCAGTCAACGCGGTTACACCGCCGACTATATCGATACCACCACAGTGGCTGGGGCTGGAATATTTTACGCGAATTCTACATCGATTCGTTTAACATTATACCTCGGACAACCATTAATTCTTTCGGGATACGAGCTGTAAAGAGAGCTCTCATCCCTTCAACCGTTGGGAACGGAATTTCACGACTCAACGGAGACAGATAACGATCGCTGGTCCCTCTTCATCTTGCTTCTCCATGCTTTCGATTTTCCTACGACTGTCTCAGCGTATCGTAATATTTCGTTTCCGCAATTTAAACTTGAAATTAATGTAAAATTAAAAGTTGCTCACTTATCAACGGTGTTTTCTCCGTGGGCGGCAGTGTCTCGCGAATAGTCATCAGGAAGACCGTCATAGAGAGGAGCGCGGAAATCCCGAGGGTGACTTTCTCCCCCGATTCCGACGGCACGTAGAATACCAACAGGGCTGAACAAACGGAGAGAAGTTAGGAAAGTTCGGGTCTCATGGCCGCTATTTTCCGTCATAGAATATCGAGCAGAATGCGTTCTTAGGTGTCGCGCTCGCGCCCAACTTTCCACACCGTGTCAAGGTAGGAAAGAGAAAAGAGGGAGAGGAAAGTTGCGCATAAATTTCACCCACCGAGTGGATCATTCGGCTCTCTTTGTTAACCGGCTGTAATCCTGCCGGTTGGCAAAGATTCGAATGCCTGTAGTGAAGAAAGCTCGCGACTCGGAGCTCTTCCTACGGTGGCTGCACGATTCGAGGATTTTAATGAAATTTCCTCTGCAGACCCGATAAGAACGCTTGACCCCCTTGCTCGGCTAAGAGTCGCATTATACCCGAATGCTGCGTATCGTCGTTGCAGCGTCGAATATTACAAATTCCGTGCTCTTATCCGGGGAACGAAACAGGGGATGAAGCGCGCACGGGTAATCGGTACTCACCGACGCTGTTGATGAGTATACACGGCAGGATCAAGTTGAAGAAGTAGAACATGGGTCGGCGTCGCAGCCGTATCTCGTAGGTGATGTCCGGATACGGCTCTGGACAACAGGAATAATACTCGACGTTTCTTCTCGCGGAGAAATCGATCAGGTCGAATTCACCGTTTGCCTGGTAATTGCTCACGTCTCCTTGCTCGCTCTGCCTCTCCAGCTCCAGCTGCATAACCGGGTTTCGCGTTTTAGTCCTTCAAACAACAACAACTCGATTCCGGCAGTCGGAGAAAATATACACTCGACGGTGGCACAAGAACCGTATCGTACTTTCGGAGCCTTGGCGGCGAGCAATTATCCCTCAGGAGAGCGAGAATAGATCCTAGAAGCTAGATTAAAGCGGTAAAGCGTCGACTCGAATTAAATCCGACGGGATGGAACGGCACGTTTCGCGATTACGTGTCAGTGTATTTCGCGTGGACAATCGGTAGACAGGTGTCGGAAAAGGCAAAAACGAACGGGTGCGAGAGCCGTATTCGACAGGACGGAAAAGAGGGTGGCGAGCATCGCGAACCATTTGCGGAAGGGACACTTCCCCTGACAAAAATATCAAATCTCTCCTGCATGTCTGTCCCTTTATCCTCGTTACCGTAATCCCGACAGGCACGTCGAAATTTCGCCGCAGGAAAAAATTAAAGCGCGATTTAAAGACCGGTTTAAAGCAGTCGGAAACGATCTGATCAAAGGAAGAGGGAAATTTTCGCGAATAGTAGCAGCGAGGCCTAATCTGAGATCGTATTTTCAGCGTTTTAGGCCGGGAAAACGTAGCGACACGCAAAATGTATTCAATGGCCGGGGATAGGAAATGGGAAAACTCCGTGAAAGGATGGGCTGGAGCGTGGAGCTTCGTGGGTACGGGGAAACGACTCGCATTGAATTCTTCTTGCATTTGGGATTAAGCTGTTCGATTTGCCCGAACCATTTTTGCGACCTGCCGAGCCGGCATTTTCGATTTGTCGTCGTTAAGCGTCCCTGGACTTGCCGAGAAGCTCGAACCTATTCCATCGGCGCTGGAAAAATTCCCCTTCCGTAGCGAATTATCGGAGACAGTGACCAAAGTCCGCGGAAACCCCGACGCGATGCCCACATCGCGTGGGATTTCCGAAAAATCGCGCCCTGTTCCTCGTTTTCGATTATCGGTCACGCGAACCACGTGCTGCGGAAACTTTTCAAATTAATTCTTATTGCGCATATTTCGAGCAGTTCGTATCAAGATACTCGAGAACTCGCGGCACGTGCCGCGAACTTATCGGAATTAGAGCGTCAAGTAACACGAATATCCGCGAGAAGTCTAGAATTTATTTAACGAGACTATCTTTTCTCTTGCGCGTGTTCGCGCGTTACGACGAGACGCGTCCCAGTCGGTTCTTTAACGCGTCTCTTCTCTGTGCGAGCTCGATTAAAGTCTCTGCATTCAGCCGGAACTTTTAATCCGGGAGGAAGCCGGAAAATATTGCAAATTTTTAAGACGAGACTCGTACGAGCGGCAAGAAGGATCAGACCGCGGGACAAATGAAATTTTCAGCGAGAAACCGGAAACGGTCCTTAAGCACCGACGTCGCGAGATTTTTGGCACCCAAGTGTCGGACATCAGTGTCAAGTGTCAAGGTTTCGGTGAAACCGATTGCCGTCGCGACCTCTGTACACAGCGCGGGTATTTTTATTGTTCAGCGGATGGTCCACCGGACGATATATCGCTTCCTCATCTGCATATCGTCCCGAGGGAGGAACTGCGTGAAATTGAGGGCAATAGAGTCGGGGATGGGACTGGTGTAGATCGCACACGTTGTCGGATTAATTTCGTAATTGCTTGAAAAATCCTAGAGCGTATACCTGATGCATTTGCACGCGAGAGTGTCCCAAGGAAGTCGAATCTTAATCGAGAACCAAAGCGAAACGCCGGGAAATATAGAATCGTCAGAATTAGCTCGCGACGCGTCTTTCATCCCGCGCGAAAAGGTGAGAAGAAAAGAGTGGAAAGAAATAAAAGGACTTGTATAAAAAGGCTGCGAGACAGTAGAGTAATTTTAGAATCGATGACGATTTGAATAAAATATACGGGCATGAACGTGTTGGTTCCTCGTGGGTGTCAGCACGCGCTCGTAGACCCCCGCTGGTTTCGCTCGAGTTAATTGCGTGGAAAACTGCATTCCAGCTTCTATCGGCTGAATTCGCGGCCTCGAAATTGTCCACTGCCTTTTCACCGATATTCCCGTCGACATTTTCGGCCTCGAGGGACCTTCCACGGGATTCCTCCGGTCTTTCGCGCTTTCGCGAATGTCGAGAGCAGGACACAAGCTAATCGTGGGATCTCCGAGTAGGTGGGCGAAAGGGAACAAAGCCATCCAGCAAGGGAGGGATCCATGGAAGCTGGTGCTACGCACTTGGTATCCATCGTACGTCCAGGAGGCCCATTTCAGGACGCACCGTTGCTCGTCGAACGGGAAGAACTCGACGTCGATGTCGCAGCTGCTGCGGAAGATACCATGGCTCAGCCACACCACCTCTCCCGTGTGACTGACTATCACGTTCGTATTGATGACTGCCGAGCTGTACTGTGGATCGGCGCTGTAAACAAAACCGAAGATATAGGATGACAGCCGATGCAAGAAATCAGTCCGCCTCTGCTGCGGTCAATCGATACCAAAACTACCCTTTTATAATACGACGCCCGACCGCAAGTTCTACCATTCCCGCGCCATTTCCTAGGCGATCGCCTAAAATGGAGTAGGATTTTCAAGAGAAATCGCGTCGCGCGAGAGAATTATCGCTTACTTGTTGTACAGGATCGTGTCTGGTCTCCACACGCGGTTGTAAGGAACGCGGATCACTCGGATTCCAGCGAATTCCGAGGCGTTCCATTTCAGATGATGGTCCGTCCAGATCTGTGTCACCCAACAGTTAGTCGTCAGTATCTGGTTCTTCTCGTCCTGCGATGAAAATCACACCGGTCTGAATGCTGCCCGAAGATTTATCATGGCGGGAAAAAGGACTCGTTGCCGGCGTAACTAAGTCACGGGGAAAAATATCGCGGGTTGAGAAATGGCTCTCGTTAGGTGTACGGGGGACAAACCTTTGCAGGTTGCTATCTGGTTCCGGCGCGTTCCCCGGGCAATTTGTCTTGGGTATTTCCGATTACCCGAACTTGATTCTACCTCCCGGAGGATTTCCCGGGCTCCTCCGTCGAGTTACCGCCTGTCAACGCCGACCCATCGTCATCGCGAACGCGAAAAGAAATACATCGTAATGAATACAAATCGATATTCGCCGGATTAAATGGATCGCCGGGATGCCGATACCTTTGCCCAGGTGGAGGTTAATACGGTTTTGAACAGGCTCGACCTAAATTTCACGTTAACGTGTCGAAGAAACGAGCAACGTACGCTGGACCGCCTAGCAATTCTCCGCTTTGTACCCGATTCCACGATTTCCACGTTACACGCGTAATATTTCCACCGTCGTCAAAGAAAAGCTTTGCTGCGTTCGCGCTTTAAACCGTGCTCGAGGGTACGTGGCCGAAAAATTCTCGTCAACCGCGAGAACATTGATTTTCTGGAAAAATTGGGAAAATTGGGAAAATTGACCGCCTCGAAGAAGTCTGGAGGAGGAAACGCAGTCTCGTTGGAAAAATCACTTTCCCATAGGGTCCCGGAAGTTTACCAAGAATCCATCGGGAGCTCGTACGAGGCAGCGTTCTTCCTTTTTCCAAATTTTCGTCGTCGACTACTCACCACGTCGATTATGTGATGAAGAGAGAGGCCAAAGACAACTGCCAGGGGTTGCGAGGAATTTTTAGCTGGACGTACACCGGCGTCGTACCCATCCAGCAGATACTTCGTCAGTCTGTATTCGTGTTCATCCCCAAAACCTGTAAAAGCAAGTATGCACGGAATCCGTCCAATATTCAACGGGAATTAAATTTCGTACGTCGTAATACGTCGCACTGTTCCCGCGGTAATGGATATTCTTTTCCCGCGGAGATTTTCGATGAATCCATTTCGACTTCCTATCTCTCCTTATCGCGATGTGTACCGTTTCATTTTCCACTTTCCCGCTTGTTTCCTTCGGTAAAATATACGATTTCGGGGCACGCAAACAGCTCGTAGCCTATGAAGCGAGTCTAGACCGAGTTACGGGAGGCATCGTTGCGCAAATTCTGTCTCTGCCTGATCTCCAATCACGAATCTAATTCCTTCCCTTACATCAGGGATATCCATTATAGCGTTTCCGATCTGCGGGTAGAAGCGTTCGTTTCATCGAAGTGGCTATTGTGTCTGGAAACGCGGGGAAGCCCTTCCGTAGATCAGCTAATCTGCCGTTCATTTCATCTTTTCTCAAAGCTCGCCAGGCGTTGCCTTCAAACCTCAATTAGATAAAAGATCTCTCAGCGGAGACAATGGTGCCGGAAACCCGGTACTCGCCGGGATGAGTCTAGTTGATTAATGAAAAATAAAGGAGAGACCTTTGATCCAAAGATTTTTTTAAGCGTCCCCTGTGATGATTAACGAGCTTGCTCTTCGAACGAGCGGATAACATTTTATCTTGCTCGCGGATTCCGATCGTGGACTATCCGAATTGACAGAAGCAGCTCGTGTCGTTCGAGTGTTGGGTCTCTGAGAGGTGTAAGGTCGCGCGAGTGGCACACGGTTCAGGGAATTTTCTCCCCAACCCTCTTAATTCCGATCGTTAAATCGACGTCACACATGGCGGTATAGCTACATCGCCATGTGGAGGCGTTCCTCTTTTCTGAATCATTTAACGGCCCATCTTACAGCTGCTCGCTCGTTTCCCAAAAAATGCAATTATTCGGACAGTTTCGATTCCACGATTTTCACCCCAACATTCCGCTTTTTAACTCGTCGCGGTTAATGACCTCAACGAAATGCTCGAGCTCGTTGACGAGCTGATCGAGTGAAAAATAACGAGATCTAATTTTAACGTACCCAAGTTTCATCCACCGTGTTTCTTTTCTCTCTTTTCCTCCTCTTTCGCCTGCTTCCTTTATACATTTTGCGAATATCGATAATTTCCGGGCGAAGTTGAGGGTACCGAGGCGTCGCAGAGAACATCGAGTACTCTCGAATACGCTTTTGAACATGCTCGCGCAACATTTAAAGACGACGTCTAGCAAGAGGGGAGAAAAAGAACCGCGAATATCCGCTTTTCCCTCCATCACGGAAATCCTATTCAACGTCTCGCTGTTTCCTCACGGCGCACCAGTGAATTCGCGCTTTTGGGACAATCGGTGCGCGAATTTTTCCAAGCACGCAAAATTCCACTCCTTTTTTCCTCGTTTCCCCTACGTGCCTCGTTCCCCACGCGGCAACTCGTTCAAAAATTTCCACGGCTTTTATCTTTAACACGGTCGTACGGTTCTAATTTCTCGCAATAACACCTCCGCCAACGATAGAACTTTGCGCGAAAAATCAAGGAAATTGGCTTTCCCGGGTTCGTATTTAAGGCAGCGGTTCGAAACGCGGAAGAGGGAAAGATAAAGCCGGACGCTCAAGGATTCAATTCGATAGCATCGAGTGTCCGCGAATTACCGTGCAATCCGGAATGCACCGTTGGAAAACTCGGAATCGAGCATCGATACACGCTCGATGCCGGAAAATGCACGACACGCTCTTCATCCTCGCAGGGCATACGAGTCGACTCTTTCATTCAATCGACGAGAGCCCTCGAATGCCTCTCTCGCTACGAAATGGAAAAATCTTTCGCACTTCTAACGAAATGCCAGCTGTAGAACGACGTCGGAGGTCCTTGGATTCCCTCGAAACGATAATTTCCGTCGATATTCCCTCTTGCCGTTGACTTTTGCCGTGTCGTTGGGTAAATGTTTTCGCAAGGCTCCTTTGCCACGTGCTTGAAAAGAAAAATGCGCGTTGGATGTAGAAAAATGAAAGAAAAGGCGAGTCGGTAAAAATTAAAAGAAAATAATCGTCGAATCAAAAATGAAGTGCACCTACTTGGGTGTACACGTGTATTCTAAAATACGACAAGGGAAAGCTTCTGATCAGGCGTCTCTTTACTCTCCTCTTCGGGGGACAAAAGTTTCTTGGCTCCGGCGTTGCGTTATCTAAAATTCATCGCGGGTCCTGTTTAAACGGAGTAAAGTTAGGGAGGAAAAATCCTCGGTCCGATCGTTATCGAGCGATTAATGTTCTCGGTATCGTCGCCGAAAGCACTTCCGGCTGTAATTAATGATCCCGACGTGGCGTGGTAAACAAACAGATCGATCTGCTTGGTGGACGCGTGGTGGACAAGTCGGTAAATTTCCGGGGGTGGCGAGTATGCAAATCCGGACGATGTTCCGATCGCGAATTAGCGGTGATGGAGGCGAAACGACGTCTGCAAACGTTTACCCGGAAGGCTAACGCAAACGTTTGATAACGAAGTTCCTCTTAGCATTGCCGAACATCTAAAGACTGTCGGACAACTCTGCTAAGCTTGTTCTCGAGTGCTCGGACGCAAGCCATGGCCTCTGTAAGTCTCTTCGTTCCCCATTCTTCTTTGTCCGTTTAATGGCCCATTTTCGCTTTGTGGCGAGAAAGGCACACGTATGCAAATCGCAGCTTTATTCCTTATGGCTGTACACGCCGCTCCGACCGCGGTTTCACACATAAAAGTTATGTTAACACGTGGACATTTGCATCGTACAGGGTTTGCATTCTCCCTTCTGACGGCGAGCTGATCCCTTGGTTTACCGTTCTAATATCGAGAGTACTCCGTGTACGTTCTTTCCGACGAGAGTACAACACCGGTTAAGAAAGCTTAAGATATACTCGAGGCATTAAACCTTATCGTTGTCTCTATGATTCTTCGGTGGCTGAACTTAGGGCAGCTTGGTGCTCGTTTATTTTCGTCCGAGGATGTTGAAACAGTCCCCGCGATATCTATGGCCCGCAGCAAGTTCCGGGCTATTCGTTATTTGCATCCTAACGAGAAACTCTCTGCTTGGATCGTCGTGCACGATACCTACGCTATCGGAACAAACATCTCGGCGGAGTGACATCGCGTTCCCGAGTTTTCCCTCCTAACCGCGAAGAAAAATGTCTACGTGGCAAATGTGGGATAATACTTTTCTACGAGATATCTCGGTGTCCGAAGTTTCCAGCAGCTGTCTCGAATATGGAATAAAATATTCGCTCGATTTCCCGGGGAGAAATAGAATAGCGCGTAGCTGCAACAACGAGAGGTAAAAAAGACTCGGAGCCATGAAACGCGTTTGAACGATGAGATACGCGACAAAGGGGGAGGAAATCGGGGATGAAATGGAATTGATCGAACGACTATAAACATTTTGGTCACCCAGAGACGGATAGACAGATTCTCGAAGGCAGAAGCTGATTTATAACTCGATCGGCAGTCATGAAATTTCTGCCGAGGGAAATCCTGTAGGTTGCGGCAATCCAGTTACCGGACAGACAGAAGAAATTGCCCTTAATCACGAGGCCGGCGTCCTTAATCGGTATTTTCCTCGGCACTTTCGTTCGATGTTAAATACGCATCCAGATTGAATCTCGTATGCAAACAGGATTATGGACTTTTCGCTCCGAACTATTTGTTCTGCTGTCGAAGTAACTTTGTCCGGTAATCAATTTTCATATTTCATCCGGGGAAGATCGTCGAGATAGTGAAAACATAAAAAAGAAAACCAATCTCTTTTTATCGATAATTCATGACACGCAACGTTTGTTAAATAAACGCATACCCGGGCACAACTTTATGTCAACAAACACGGGGAACACCCATATGAAATACGCGTACCAAACAAAGACAGTAACGTCGACATGTGATTCACGATAATTCCGTTTCTGTGTGTACTCTCTGGATCTCGATTAGAACGACAAACGTGCAAGATGTACGCTGAATATTTGTAAAATTTCAATGGATTACCAGCGTGTAAACTGGACGTAATGAAAGGAGCGAAAGAGAAACCACTTACCGTTCCCGAAAATGATGGCCAGAACTCCGTAATGAAAGAACAGAACCAAAGGCGACATGGAATTGATGGACCACTTAAACGCGAGACCGCCTGTCCTCGACTGGTGTCCGTTGCTTTTCAACCACCGTGCAATTTCGACCCTGAATCCCGCGCTACCCCTACCAGCGCACGTCCATTCCCAAGGAAATTCGCGCAGGCGTTTCGAACAATGCAGACACGAATGTTAAACAAACTGGCTGCTTGTACAAGGTTGCAACCGCTCTGGTGTTACGCGTGTCCGTGCCCGATCCTCCGAAAGAGGATCTCCAATTCCGTCGATTATAAATTTGCTTCAATTAGCGGGACCGCATTTAATTGCGTTTGATGAAGTTAAACGAGGCTTTCGCTGCTCCGAATCACGCCGCCATTCTCTATCTCTATCTCTCTCTCTCTCTCTCTCTCTTTCTTTCTTTCTCTCTCTTTCTGGTTAGCCAGGACCAATTTCAGCTGAATATTAATTGAACGCTATTATTAGAAAAATTGAAACGCTATCAAATTTCTATCAACGTATATGAAAAACAAAATTTGTAAAAATACTTTCTCGCATTTCGTTATCCAGTCGATGAAGTTACGCAGCAGGTAGCATCGAATTGCTGCTTTAATCTTGCAATTTAAAACGAGAACGTGTGCGTGTTCGTTTGTTTCCCATTGATTTTCGCCTGTCATTCCGCCACGCTTTCCAAATTGACAAGTAAACCTATCCAGGTTCCAGAGCGTATCGCATTTTAATCCGTAAATTTCACCGTTCTAACGGTATCGTGGAAAATTTCCTGTTGCACTCTTTTAACGCAGCGATCGGACTGTCCCTCGTAGCCGGGCAAGGATTCGATGCGATGACAATATGCGCCTCCGGACTGTCTGAAAGATGGACACAAAGAAAAGTCAATGTTTAAAGTGCGACGGGGACGTAATAGTTGACACTGGGCACTGTCCCAAATGCTCAGCTTCGCTCAAGTTTTTCAAAACGTTTCATCCACACGCAAGCCAGGCTAAACGAGATCCCAGCAAGACCTCTGTGAAGCCAATGGAGGCCAGCTATGTGACTCAGATCGTGTCCAGTGGAGTTCGAGCAGATAACATTTACGAGGTTTAACAGTACCAATGTCGATTGTATTAAATCAATGATACATTTGTTGTTATTGCATGATAGACGAAGCTATTGTTGGCGCCAGAGGTGGACTTATCTTCTATCAAGATCACCGTAAAGGGGAACAATCTTCGCGTGAACGTGTGCAAGCCCCTGGACGATCAGTACGCGAGACAGTTACCAGAAATTAGCGAAAAATCGATCTTTGCCGACTTGGTCAAGGGAATGATGAAGCACTGTGAGAATTTACTTATACCAGAAGGCATCGATAACGCGAAAGTTCGAGCTGTGGTGGATAACAAACACAGGATGCTCGTGCTCACGGCTCCTGCGATGAAACCTAGTAAAACTAGAAAGTACATGGAGAAAAGTTGAGGAAGTTTGGCCATTATGACTTTCTCCCATGAAGTTATGAACCAAAGCCAAAGTGTGAAGTTCGATAAGATAAAAGACGAGCGTTCGATCACGCTATTTTTCGACCAATTTCATCTAGTTGACCCGTGAAAATGCTACAAGTCAAATTTCTGTAACTTTATACCGATCACTATGGACAAACTGTTGCAACATTGCCAAGAAAATGCGATTACCTTAAAGCAAAATGAATATATGAATTTTGAAATGATGATGAATGAACGTAAGATGAGTTTAAAATTTGAGAAAGTTCCAAATTTTTACGTCATTGACAATAAAGAATATTATGCTGTACGTTTATCTTGTGTAAGTGAAATCGAACTGGACGATTTACTTAATGGGTCCTTTATGAATTTACAGGCGGAAATGAAGACCGAAGGATTGAAAGTAGTTACAGCTATTCTAGCTACTGAAAACATACTGAACATAAAATTGCACAGTTCGGAAGATTTGTCGAATGTTAGAAACCTGAACTTTTTGATGCCAATTGAAGCGAATGCAAAAGAAGTTTCAATCGAGATACTCAATGACACGATTTTCATGCGTGCTCCTCTTAAAGAAAAACATGCGTAGCATTATTTGTCGTTACATCTGTTCATAGCTTTAAGGGGGGAAAAAAAAAATAGAAAAACGTATAGAAGGTAGGAGATACAGTTACATCAATTACAAACAAGACTGAAACTTTAAGGGGGGGAAAAAAAATAGAAAAACGTATAGAAGGTAGGAGATACAGTTACATCAATTACAAACAAGACTGATCTTCGTGTAGTTGTCTTCCCATATTTTATTCAAGACAAATAAAGTTCATGGGTCAACAACAAATTGTTGATAAAAACTTATTACTTCTTAGCGGGTGCGGTCTTTTGTGCTGCACTCTTTGCCGCAGTTTTTTCAGACGATTTTGTGGCCTTCGCTGATTTTGCCACGGTAACTGGTGTTGCCTTTAAATTTTTCACCAACTTGGGTTTGGCTGCTCTAGCGGCTAAGATCTGCTTCCTGCGTCTTTCCTGAAGTAACTTAGTCTTTACGGCAGGTACGGTCTTGGCCAATTTGATCTACGAACGTAGAACATTTTTGTTAGAATCAACGCACATTAACCGGATGTTATTCAATGTTAAAAACTGAACGTACTCCGCGCTTCTCCGCAAGAAGAAGGTCCCTCTCTTGTTGACGTTTCTTCGCCGTTAAGATTGCTGCACGTTTCAAAACGGCTGCGTATGGATTAAGGCGTAACATCGCTCGGGTGTTAGTCAATGGGTTCAATTTCTTGGCACTGCGGACCACCTTCTTCCTACAAATTGAAAATTTATCTTCGATAACTACATTCATAAATGAAACAACAGTAAGATATTCGCAAAGATCAAGTATCAGAGATGGTTAAGAGTTGTTATCACTGTCAATCAGTAACACGGACCAAAATTGTTACATCATATATGTAATATATAATATGCCATTGACAATGTACAATACAATATGAATTTGCGTACCTTGGAGCTCGTAGAACTTTACGAATTTCCTCAGATTTCAGAAGTCTCGACAGATCCGTGTTCGCCATTTTCGGGAAAGGTAAGTTGTAGTCGGTTTTAAGTTGGGATTCCTTACGCCAAGTTCCGTAAAGAGCGTCTAATTTCTCAAAAGCGGATTTCGTCCAAATTACGAAGCGTCCAACGTGACCACCAGGTGCCAATTTAAGTAAGTTCATTTTATTAATATTCATAAGATCGATACCGGGAATGTTACGGAATGCCTTACGTATGCCCTAAACGAAATATATTAAAAAAAAAAGAAATTAATTTTGACATCTTGAAGTTGGAAAAATAATTAAGATTTTCATTTCTTTAGCCATTTATTTACCTGATCTTGACCATATACAATTAGAGGTCCACGCCGTTGGATGCGTCTACGATTACGCATTTTACCTTTACCAGCACGAAAACGTTGAGACTTGTATACCTATTAATAAAACAAAGATATTATTTTTCTAGTAAATTAGTGTTTCCGTGTAATCTGTTTGGTTAAAGATACCCTATTCTAGCAATTAATGTGCTAGTTTAGAACGCCTCATAACCATGTTTATATAGCACCTGACAGGAGCATCTAAATTAAAATTGATTTAATAAAGATGCGGACATTCAACGGTGCAAAAATAGAATTAAGTATACCCACTTTTTGAATATCATTCCATGCCTTGATGCGTCTCAGGAAAATAACAGCTTGCTTGGTCTTGTTATATTCTTGAATTTTGTCTGACACCACTAATGGAAATTCTGGCACTTCTTGTATCATGTGACCTGAACATTAAAGAATGACGTTAACTATTGTCCTACACCAGTTAGATACATATATATATGAATATCTGAACATATCAGGGTAAAGTTATTAAGATAATCAAAGGCAATTCAGCAACACAGACCAAAGTAAATCATCACTGAGAAACTATATACAATGAAAATTTATTATTTTATCTTAAGAAATATTATTTACCCTTAGATTGTACAAGGGCTGGGACACCAGATGCAGCAATAGCAGAGACCAAAGCATATCTTTTCTGGTTAACATTAATTCGACGATGCCAGCGTCTCCATGGCTTTGTTGGGGCAAACATGCGACCACCCCTACACATGTTACCAAATGCACCCTGGCCAGAACGATGAGTACCACCACCACGTACACGGGGTATACGTGCTACAGCACGTCCAGTACCCCATGATTCAGCAGAAGTTTGATGACCTAATAAAAGAAACCTATATTTAATAATTGCATATTAGTTCTTTAAACTATAAGAAACGAATGCATAACAGTATGTACTCACCAGCTTCTTTTGATACACAATATGGTTGTCTGCTGTTCTTCGAGACTTGTTGGTGAACAAAATTTACGATATCAGGTCGAATCGGTGCTTTGAACACAGCCGGAAGAGAAATTGTATCCCCTGACGACTCATTTTTATCGCTGTATACCGTAACAAGCGGTCGCGCCGTTGATAACGACTATAAAATGAGAAAAATGAGACAAAGAAATGAAACGTAGTTTTATTTAACTAGATATTAACGAAATTAGAATCAATGGTAAGAAAAACAAGAAAATGAACTAAAATTTGATATTCTGATAGAAAGATAAATACATCTTTTTGACATGGCACATGGCGGACTAAGAAATCGAAATCATCGTATTTAATGCGAACAAATTTATATTATATATTTTATCATTTTCAATAGAAAGCTGCAAAAAGAAAACATTCAAAGTTTTAAGTTATATTTAAATATACACCACATACAAACCACAATAGTTCATATACTTGAAATTATTACACGTGGTCAATTGTACGGTGTGTACAATTTTAAGTTCGATAAGAAATTCTTGCGAATTACGAGTCATTATAGTAACAAAATTATGCAAAATATTAAACTCTAACAAATTTCAGATAAAATGCAAGATTTCTTACCATCTCGCGTTCTTTTTATAACTTTTCACGCATGAGACATAAACTAACCAGGCAACTCGTACGGCTTACCTGGTCGTAAAGGAAGAAGGACGCCAGCGGAAATTACATATGAAACATCGCGCATGCTCAAAACCTACCAATTCTTAAGTACCATTTACAATTATATACATAACTTTTTTAAATGTTTATAGATAATTTGTTTAATATGTTTGAGTAATAAAAGATTTATCTCATTACTTCGAATATTTTCATTAAAGTAAATCCTTTTGCGGTAAAAGCGAGATTTAATTATTCGTAATCTCTTAGAAATGCATCAATAGTAATGCAGTTTGGTGGGAATCGCTGCACTACGATTGGAAGTTACATTAGAAATACTTTCTTGAGTGAAAGTTGTTTAGTCGGAAGTACGTCATACAGAATTTAAACTTTGTTAATGAATGTCGATAAACTCTAACGTAGAAGAGTTCTTTGTTGTACAATTTTTCTTAAATGGCAGGAGAAGTTGTAGTTGATGCGCTACCATATATTGACCAGGGATATGATGAACCTGGAGTCAGAGAAGCAGTAAATAAAATTTCTTTATAATAATTTATTATTAAACTAATTTAAGGTTATATTATTTATATTTTCGTGGAAAATAAATTGACAACTGATATATAATTAGTAAATGTTTTAGGCTTTGGCCATGGTCGAAGAGGAAACACGTAGATATAGACCGACGAAAAATTATTTAGAACACTTACCACCATTAAATATTAATGCTTTTGAAACAGAAGTGATGAAACATGAATTTGAGCGAATGCAAAATCGTTTACCTATGGAAGTGCTTAGTATGAAACGCTACGAGTTACCTCCACCTCCACCAGGTAAAATGAATGATCTTGCAGCATGGAACGAGAGTGTAGAAAATAGTAGTGCACAATTAGAACATCAGGCTACGAGGTAAATGAAAATTTTTATATTTTTAAATTATTATTTGTGTTATTACTTTGTATTTTGATAATTTGTAAATTGTGTGTGTAATTCTAATTCGATACATTATCGCAATATTTTATAATCCAGAATATGTAATCTTGAGCTAATGATGGAATATGGATGTGAAGGATGGAAATCTTATTTAGAAATATTAGTGCAACTTGTAAATCAAGCGCAAAAACAGCTGCAAGTCTTAAGGAAAAAAATTCAAGAAGTCAATTGGCAAAGAAAATCTATGCAAACTCAAGGAGGAGAAAAGTTAAGGGCATTAGAGGCACAGTGGGTAGGACTTGTGTCAAAAAATTATGAAATTGAACAAGCATGCGTTCACTTAGAAGAAGAGATACAGAAATCTATGATGAATAAGGGAGAGGGTGTAGAGATAAGTGATGTGCCAGGGGAAGAAGAACCTGACGTTCCAGAAAAGAGTGCAACAGAGGTTATGGCAACGGAAATGGATCAACAAGAGCAAGAAAATGAAGAATCTTGAACAATGTGTAAAAATATGAATGTATAAAATTATGAACGCCTGTATTTTGTATGATTATATTAATATTAATACATATATAAATATATACATTGATTTTACTTAAAATCGTTGAAAAAGTTATTTATTCCTATTCAAATGTGTTTCAATTAAACCTCTCGAAATAGGTTATACCGCATGAAGACGTAGATAACATTTTGCGGAAGAATCTCTTTATAAATCATTTGTTTTAACAAATATATTAATTTATAGTGAGAATAAGTAACAGTACGTATCTGTGAAGATAATTTATTATAAAAATACTATTAATCTTTCGTTATTAACACTGATATATAATATAACAGTGTAAAAGAGGTTATATATATAGCTTATAGCATAAGCAAAAGTAATTACAGTAAGTAATGTAATTTTGAAGTTTACTTATATTTATGATTGTAGATAATTAATACGATGCCATATGGTATATCATGGTCTCGATATATTTCTTTAATTACATTATCTTTTCTATCGATGGCGGCCGGTGCACAAGTTATACACACGATATATAAACCGCTTGCCGATCTAGACGATCTCATAGAAGAGGCATTTCAAAAACGATTACAAGAACGAGAGGAACTCAATTAATATGTTAATAATATTTTAGTAAATAAATGAATTAGTTATGCTGTTAACGTGTAATTATTTAAATATCCCGCTAGATAAGATTTTTTTATTACAAGAGTCGTGGAAATGTGGTTAAATGGATAAGAAGCGAATAATAAACAGAAATAAAAAATAAACAGAAATAAATTACCTGAAGTTGCCTTCAATTTTTTGCCACAATACCGGATTTAATAAAGCACAATTTATTTCATCATAGTTTACACATATCACGCTTTTCTTTAATGCTTATTTAATATACATATTTACAAGATGAATATCATCGTCTATAAATGACATATAGTATCATGTAACAATTATTTATAATTCACAGTATACTTGGAGGACTTTCTTAAATAGTTTGCTTGCATTGATGTATCAGTAGCACATTTTTGCGTAAGCCTAGCTTGTAATTTAGTTTGTTAGGATAGCTTCTAACTCGTACTTTTTTTTTTTTTTAATATAATTACAAAAGCGAATAATCAAGCATTATTCTTGGGCAACTATTCGTGTAAAAAAATACGCAAATTTTCTTTCCGTTTCGATCGTTTTGTAACGATGGGAAGGATAGTGAAAACACTTGTAGAGCCCGTATTAATTGATTTCCATTAATCACTAAATTGTCATAATGATGTTTCGCTGGCGCCAGAACTCTGTGACTGCAGTGGTAAACTTGTTTTATATCCTGTCGATTCCTCCTCAAGCAATGCTATCCGCTGTTTTAGAGATTTTACCTACAAATTAAAATATGCGTGTAAAAAAAAAAAAAAACGAAAAAAGAGAAAAGAGGAAGAAAAAACCAAATAGTTACATTACTAATTACGATTAAATTGATACGATATAACTGCGCAGAATCAGGCGCAGCTCAATATTAAAAAAGATCCAAGATGGCGATAACCATAGTGCAGAAGCATCATTGTGTTGATTACTATAATACATTTTACGGTGAATTTAACAATGACGAATATACATAGAAAAATAGTTAAATTTGTACATAAAATGCCCGGTAAAGCTTTTGGAGAATTTCGCTTTTTACCGTTATTCTTTGTCATGGGTGGTGTGATCGAATTCCTTATGATACATTGGCACGTCGGAGAGGTTAACTTTTATAAAACGTATAAAAGAAGAATAATAAACGATACGGTTGAAGGAAGATTACGACAAATGAACGAATTATGAGTGAATCATTGCAAATGCAGACAGAAAAGTAATGGATAAAGATGGCATTTGTGAGTTTGTATGATAGTAAATCAGTGAGTACAACACCATAACATCTATATCTCATTTTTACAGCAACAAAGGCCCGACTAATGCTCTCCACTTTTATAGGCCTTCCGAGGACTGACATAGTTTATCAAGAGATAAGGAATGTAATTTATGCAAAGACATGTACAAAGTATAATAAATTGTTTTACAAATGTATAAGCACAATTCTGACAGTTCTTCTTAACTTCATATCACACACCACATTTATGCTTGTTCATACCTGTGCAGCATGTCTCTCCACCATGCCCAACATTTGTTGTTCCAATTTTTTTAACCTGGATTGATATTTCTTCTTAGACTTTTCTAAAGTTTGTACCAGGGCTCTAAAAATGAAGTTAAAAAGTAATATTTTTCAATCAGTAGTATTTTGCTTTTTATCTATAATTTAATTACCCATTAGCTCTTTTCAAATCGTTAACAAGCTCAGCCGACTGTTGATGCCTCAACTCGGAATTTTTATTAACTTTATCTAAAGTAGAAACTAATTCTTGCAAACGCTCCTTTAACCTGGCCTCTCGACCTAGTGCTTCAATTAATTCGGATTCCATGCCTTCGCTTTCGTTATCGCTTAAACCTCGGTCCTACATACAACGCATGCTCGTTAATTCGAAAAGAAGTATAATTATTTCAATTAATCGTTATATTTTTACTTTATTCGTAGCCATAGCCAGCATGGCTTCTGTATCACTGAGTTGACCTTGAAGATGTTCAATAGCAGCATGTTGAGCCGCGATTTGCGTATCACGTGCATTTAATTTCAATTCTATGGTAGCTCGTTCCTTCTCCAACAGAAAAACCCGTGCTCGTAGCTCTGCCTTATCCTCCCTCATAGCCATCAATTCCTGCATCATTGTCAAATGAATTACATTTGTTTTTGGAACCCCGTAACAAGCCGTGTCTAATCCATGCCATGGACAAACCTGCATAAGTACAGCGGTTTCTAAATCTAACTTCCGGGCTTCGGCGAGGGAAATGGTATTCTTCGAATTTAATGGTTCAGCGTGAACACTTTCCAATTCCACTACAGTCGAGCGAACCATGGCTCGTTCTCCTTTCAGTCTGCTAATATGTCTTCTGAGTCGTTGCTCGTCTTCGACGCACCAAGCCACTTCGGATCTAAATTTACCAGATAATTACAAAAGCTATAGGTTTATCAATAGATCGCAATGTACTTACTCGTCCGATAAAACTATACTATCATCCCATGGCGCATTCAGGGTATTCATACATTCGTTCTCCAATTTATTCAATACATGATAGGCTACGATCTCAGCTGTTCTTCTGTTATCGATCGTAATGCTGTTTCTTTCCGTCGACAGGGCAATCTCGCTTTCCAGCAATGCTACTAGCACGTCGTACGCTTCTATCGCGCGATCACTGTAGGAGAGCGCTAATCGTAACGCGGTCGCGTTCGATTCGTACTTGCCAACTAAAAGACTCAATCTAAAAGCAGACGAGGAGATAGATATCCTTCTTTCACAAAGATTCTCATATTTTGCATTTTATTTTTTCAAAAGTGAAACACAAAGATACCTGTCGCATTGCGCTTTGCTCTCGTGTAATGTCAATGCGAGAACCGCATTATTTGCTCGCGCGTGCTCCAGCCTGCTGTTCAACCTTTCGGTTTCCACTTCAAACTGCTTCTCGGATCCGTTTAATTCTTGAAGATTCGAGTGTTCGAGCAGATCCGACACCAGATGTTCGGCCACCATCGTGGAACACACCTATTTAAATTCCAAGCGAGAAGGCGGGAAGGTTAAAAAAATAATTCCAGCTTTTACAGCATCGATTTCGCTCGATACGGTGGAAGATGATTCGCGAGTAATCGCAGAAGTAAAAACCAGGGACAACGGGCGATGATAACGTACCCCTAGGTTGGTAATATCGGGTCCTGTGATGTGTCTCTCGTCGGTCCTCCTGAGTCTTACCCTCTCGGCTATTTTAAGAACCGGAGCTTCCTCCCTCGTTACACTCTTTGTCGGCGGTGTCTGCAGGGGTGGCAAGAGTGGCGAGCAAGGTGCACTCAAAGGTTCCGGCGAGCTGGTGTTGCCTCTTGTCTGCGGAAATCAAAGGAGCACGAGGAAAACATTACAGTCGGAAGGGTTGATAAATATTTTTGTGAAAGTGTTGGCTGATCAAAGGCTGGCCAAAGCAGGAGTAACGGTGCAAAAAATTCGTTCGACATTCAACGGTTCGTTCCAAAGGGGGAGAGTGCATTTCGGGTGCAGCAAGATGAAAAGAACGATCTCCTTTTCATCACGGAGCCTCTTTGCGAACTGCAAAGTCTCGGAGCGGCCTCTATAGACCGAAACCACATTGATTGCTCGTGTCCCGGGACACGTCACAATAGGTCAAATTGCTACCCACTCGTACTTCTCTACGGGGTGACTCGCTGCCAGCCTGTTGCCTCTGATTGCTAGCCTGATTCTTGAAATTGGCCAGCTGAGCCTGCAAGCTCGAGATTTCTGCGCGAAGGGCTGTGACCTCTTCTTGTAAAGCTGCCACTGCCACGCTTTGGCACGAGGCCGCCTGCTGGGTTGGCTCTGGCGTTGGTAATGCCGCCGGACTGTCTAACTGTTCTCTTCCATTCTGTCGATGGAAAGCATTATGCAATTACTCCTGAATTATGCAAGAGACTTGGGCGAAAAGTCGAGGGAATAGCAATAAAATTCGAGGGGGTAACGTCTAAACTGGGCAACTTTTCACGATTCTATACCTGCTATCCACACTATTTCCGATAGTTTCGAGATAATTACGGTACTTTCTTCTACACGCAAGTTCGATCGCCCAAGTTTGAAATCGATCCACGAGTATACCTCGGCGGTGCGTGGCTCGATGTCCTCGCAGCAACTGGAATCAGCATCGCCCAAGGTACGATCTCCATCACCTTGAATGTCACCTCCAGCCTCGCTCTCCTCCACCGGGTTGGTAATAGACCCTTCTGCGTCTCGGCTCGTCTCTATTTCTACGTATCAGCAAAGACGGAACGAGAAACATTGCGTTATTCTTCAAAGCAATTAAACAAAAGTGGAGAAATAAATAAGAGGAAATTCCTATCTCGCAGAGCTGCACGAAAGCAACGAGCTGTTACGTACAGAAATAGTTACAACACGGCCAAACAATATCCTGCCACGTAGAATTTCGAATTTCGAGCAAATGGTGGGGGAAAGGAACGGTGAAGTGGCTCGCAGCAGGGAACGCGTTAAAACATCAAACAGCCTCGGTCCATAAATCTCTGTCGAAAGGAGGTAGTAGACCGGGCTCTCTGCACAGATTTACGGAATCGGTCGTTCCGTTCTCTCCCTTACCGGACTCATCCTCCTCGGCAATTACGGTAGCCCGATGCCTCTCGAGCTGCCTGCCGAGCTCGGCTATCACGGAATGCAACTCGGTCAGCCTCTCCTCGTGTCTCGCCGCTTGCTGCTCTGCTCTCTGCTCGGCTCGCGCGGCCTGCACCTCCGCGCGGACCAGAGCCGCCTCGGTAGCCTCCCTGGCTCGTGTCGCAGCCACCAGCCTTGAGTTCAGCTCGGCGACCTCGGATCGCAGCGATGACAGCGCGGCCGCGTGCAGCTGAAACAGAACCGTGGATCCCTCGATCAACCATCGATCATGTTTACATTTCGCTGGGAGAAAGTTACCGCGATGTCACCGGGTTCAACAGGCTTTTGTCTTTCGAGTGGACGACGGAATGGACGGCGGAACGAATGGCGGAGTGGATGGAAGCTTTCACCAGGCGCGTTACGAGACTTTCCAGCCTTATCCACGAGATAAGGCTTCCGAGTCCTTCGGAACGCTTCGTTGGAGGTCCGATGACGGATCGACGGAACTTCATCGGAGAAATTCGATTTCACGGTTTGGCAAATATCGTATAACGATTTCGTAACACCGTATGGCGATATCGTGACTCAGAGTCCGCTACGTTTTTGATTTCAGTTCGGTGACGCAACTGCTCGTGGTCAAGGTTGTCACAGTAAGACGAGTGGATGAAGATCGTCTTACCTGTACACGCTACGATTCGGAAGCGTACGGAATAATTAAATTCTTGCCACGGTTATCCTTGACTATTCGCTTAATAACTTCTGGTCGCAACGAATTACGATGTTCGAATGATCGTAGAGGAAAAAATAATTCGCTAATTCTACGTTTCGTCGAGGACGATCCTTGAACGCGTTCATCCATTCACTTCGGGCCGAGCTGATCGAATTAAAGATACCAAAATGATCGTCGCGTTCGCGGCAATTTGGCCGTATTTTTCATTCGAGATTCGACCTTCCCGCTTTTAGTCAGGACCGCTTTTATTTCGTCGGAGACTCGAATTTGGTCGATCACGACGATGAGCGGAAGCGGCTGTTTGCAGCGAATCGTCGCGGTGTTCCCGTAAATGGTCGCCAGGCCCAGACGCGATCCCCCTCCTTATTACCGGTGGCCTTCATTAATTTCGTCGCATTCGCTGCATTTCGAGCGTGAAGGTAGAAAAGAGAGGAATAAAATGTTGAAAAATGCGTAGGAGCGCGCGGATACGTGTTTACGCGGTATCGTACCTCGCGGAGTGTCCTTCGCGAAGGCAACCGGGCATGACGAACGTTACAAGACGACGAGCCGCTAATGATTGCTGGCCGCGTGATAGCGCACGCCGATCAAGAGGGAGAGAGAAAAACGTCAAGGGATACGTATAAGAATCGCGGCCCGTAATTACGAAGTTTCATTCGCGAGTCGTCCTCCTGTCCAGAGAGGGAGAGAAAGAGGATCGTGTGTGTGTCCTGCCCCGAAGAGTGTCTTACGCGTATTCTCGACGACAGGTAAACTAGTTTGTCATCCGGCTTGTCCACGAGACACCGAACTTTTTGCTCATTCTTCTCCTCTTTCGCTTGTACTTTCGCGTGTTCGCCATTTTTTCGCGTCGCTATCCGCTAGTTCGCCGATTCGCTTTTTCGTTCAATTCGGGAACACGTTTACTTAAACGTAGCGTAACTGTCAATTTTCCATGTTCTTATCGTCGACGAGATAGGAACCGGTGCTCCGATACGCGTACATGCGTATTTCGCAAAGGTCAATTATATATCAGCAAAGAAATTACATTAATCAGCGTCAGTTAAAATAAAGAAACGAAATAACCAACGCGTGTCGTACAGTCGTGTGGCTGTCACAGAAAAGGT